AAGGTCAATAAAAATCATAATAAACAGAAAATGTTTAGAATCGGTATAAGCGCAGGGAGAAATGATCTTAATCTCGAGGGGCATGTACAAGTGGGATACTGTAGTAAAACCGTCAAAAATTACAATCCCATTGAAAAGACCCAGGAGAATAGTATTGAAAACGTTGAAGAATGAAAGGATTTTGTCATTTCACGTGTGAACATGGACGACTACTTATCTAGCGTGTATTACGATCCAAAACGACCTGGAGGATTTGGCGGTGCGAAACGTTTGTATGAAGACGTTAAGAAGGAAGGAAGATTTGCGCTAAGTTGTAAAGAAATTAGGGAATGGCTGATGAAACAAGATGCATACACGCTGCACAGACCCATGCGCCACCACTTTAAACGAAACCGTGTCATTGTAGGGGGTATCGATCAACAATGGCAAATGGATCTGGCGGATATGCAATCCATGCAGAAGTTTAATGATGGATATCGTTATCTACTCGTGTGCATCGATGTCTTTTCCAAATATGCATGGGTAGTCCCGTTGAAAAACAAGACAGGTCCCACGCTAGTTGAAGCTTTCAAAGTAATTTTAGCGTCTGGACGTAAACCCGAGAAGATCATGACGGATCAGGGCACGGAGTTTTTGAATAGACATTTTCGGGCTTTAATGAAAGAAGAAGACATCGAACTGTACAATACGTACAATGAAACCAAAGCTTCTATCGTGGAACGCCTGATTCGTACGTTAAAAACGAAAATGTGGCGCTACTTTACAGCGAAGAAAACGATGAGATACATTGACATGTTACCCAATCTGGTCTATTCTTACAATCACAGTGTTCACCGTAGCATCAGGACAAGACCCGTGGACGTTACTGCTGGGAACGAGAAGGAAATGTGGCACACCCTGTATGATGAGCATAGCGTAGCGAAAAATGTAAAGTACAAGTTTAGGATTGGCGATCAAGTGAGAATTAGCAAGATGAAACGAACATTTGAAAAGGGATACTTGCCGAATTTCTCCAAAGAGATCTTTACAATAAGCAAACAAATACCTCGAGATCCTCCTGTGTACAAACTAAAGGATCTGGACGGTGAAGAACTCAAAGGAACATTTTACGAGAAAGAGTTGCAAAAGATCATTAAGGAAGATGACGTCTACGAAATTGAAAAGATCCTGAAAAAACGTGGACGTGGCAATAATGTACATTATCTTGTAAAATGGTTAGGGTACCCCAGTAAATTTAACTCGTGGGTACCCGCTTCTGAAATAAATAAGATTTAAACCGTTGAACGTGCTGTTTGTTTGTTATTCTCATCGGGGATTCATAATGAGCGGAACACACTTTTACCTCACGCTTCCGAGCAATGCGTCCCTGGACGTTTTTCCCGATAACAAAACAACCGAATATCGTGTAAAATTACCACAGCCCATTGATCTGGATGGCAATTGGGAAGTCGGACTGTACTCTATTTCCTATCCCTACACGTGGTATACCCTGCGGGATATTAATGTGGATACTCACTTCCTTTATTTGAGTTCTACCGATAAATGGATATCATCTGCGGTCATAAAGTACGGACACTATGGGACTATGGAAGAGTTCACTAAAGGTATGAACGATGCTCTGGAACAAGAGATCGGTAATAATACTGACATATATCTAACGTACAGTGCCTTAACGGGAAAAGTGACCGTTCACTTGAAACCCAAATGCAAACTTTTTCTTTTTTCCGGCAAATTGTCCCTTATCCTGGGATTCGGTGGAAAAGAGGTGAAAATTGACAAAACGGGTGAAAGTCCTCACGTAGTAGATTTAAATATCTTTTCGACGATCTACACATACTGCAATATCGTTCAACCACAGATCGTCGGAGATACGAGTGCGCAGTTACTTCGAAACGTTCCCGTCGAAGGAAAGTATGGTGATATCGTTACGAAAACGTTTACCAACATACAATACGTGCCTGTCCAAACGAAATCCTTCGGAGACGTGAAAATTCTTTTAAGGAACGACACGGGTGATCCCGTGCCATTCGAACGTGGGAAAGTCATAGAGACACTACATTTCAGACAGCATACTTATTTTACCTGAGAGAATGAATAATCCGTACGTACGTTATTACCTGGATCAACAACAAGGGCGTGGCATGCCAGTGTTCAAAGGCAGCCCCTGGCAGGTGGGGTACGGGCTGGGAGGACTGTTCCGTACTCTTGCAAGAAAAGCAATGCCTTTGATCAAAAGTGGAGCGAAAGCTCTTGGAAACATTGCCCTGAAAAGTGGGACAGACTTTGTGGGCGATGTCCTGGCAGGTAGAAACGTGAAATCAGCAGCAAAAGCACGATCCATACAGGCCGCCAACATTGCAAAAAGAAAAGCTATCGATACACTAAGGAGTCAAACGGGGAGCGGAAAACGGAAGCGCTTAAGAAGTGTAAAGCGTTCAAGAAGTGCAAAGCGAACAGCTAAAAAGAGAAAGACATCTACAGTCAGCCGCAGTCAGAGCAAGAAACGGAAAACAGTTAAAAAGAGAAAGGCATCGGCATCTGCAGCCAGACGCAGACAGACCAAGAGACGGAAAACAGCTGCGGACATATTTGGTTAAAATCATGAATCTCGTACATTCCAAATCGCAAGAATGCACAAAAAGCGAACTCGATCTATTCTCTGTGCCCCCAACACAAATCAGTTTAGAAAAAGGACACTGGGTAGATCATCAACCCGTTTCCAGTGTAGCCGATGGTGGTGTCGTTACGTTCCTGTCTCCGGGCACTGAAGATTATGTGGACCTTGCTAGAACGATTCTTGTGGTGAGAGCGAAAGTGACAAAACCCGATGGCACGAATCTCGGAGCAGCCGAAAAGGTATGGTGTTTTTCATATTGAATACACCGTTTTCAAATATTAATTTCCTTCTAATCCGTTTAAGGTTGGAGTGGTGAACAATTTCCTCCACAGCCTGTTCAAACAGGTGGATGTCTTTTTGAAAGGGAAACAGGTCACTCAGGCTACCGGAACCTATGCGTACCGTGCTTACTTGGAAACCCTTCTGAACTACGGTCCCTCTGCAAAAGATTCACAGCTCACAGCTGCGTTGTATTACAAAGACACTGCAGGAAAAATGGATGTCGCGGATCCTACGGTGGCAGGTGGTAATGGCAACGCTGGTCTCAGAGCAAGATACGTTTTCAGCAAAGCAAGTGGAACTGTTGAAATGACTGGCCCCATATTCAGCGACATATTCATGTCCGAACGTCTCCTGTTGAGCTACGTGGATCTAAAAGTTATTTTAAATCGAAGCAGCGACGAGTTCTGTTTGATGGCCTCCGAAGACGATGCCGATTTCCGCGTGAAACTTACTGATGCTTATCTCAAGATACGTAAAGTGAAAATCAATCCTAGCATTTCCGTGGCTCATGAAATAGCTCTGAAAAAGGGACCTGCTATCTATCCTATCCGTCGCGTCGAATGCAAGAGCTTCATCGTTCCCGCTGGAAATCCCTCCCTAAGGAAGGATAACCTTTTCAATGGACTGGTGCCAAAAACAGTTGTCTTTGGTATGGTCGAAAGCGACGCGTTCAATGGTGCATTAAAAAAGAATCCGTACAACTTCCAACATTTCAGCGTGTCCTCCATTGGAATAACCGTCAACGGAGAAGAAATGCCATTTAAACCCTTGCAGCTGTCCTATGGCGCAGCACCTAAATACATCGAAGCATTTACCACACTGTTCTCTGGTACGGGAAAAATGTATCACAACACAGGAAACGATATATCCCGAGAGGAATTTCCAGAAGGTTACGCCGTGTACGCCTTTGATTTAACACCGGACATGTGTGGAGCCTCTCCTCATTTTAACGCTGTGCAGAAAGGGAATTTGGCCATTGATATCCAGTTTTCCGCAGCGCCTGCAAATGCTGCGAGTCTCGTATGCTACGGAGAGTTTGAGAATACTGTGCACATTGATTCCGAAAGAAACGTTGTCTACGATTATTCTGGATGAACACTGCCCAGATAACCCATGCCCTGGAACAAGATCCCGTAACAAGCAAGAAGTTTTGTGGTGTGTTCCCTAGCGACAAGCTGCCTCAGACGATAGACAGATATCCGTGTGGATTCGTTGCGAACACTGATACGAGCAGTGGACCTGGAACCCATTGGGTCGCCTTCTACTTTCCATCGGAAGAGAAATTCTTTGACAGTTACAGACATGCGCCCGAGTACTACAGGAAATCGTTTGGAGACTTTTTAAAGTCTCGCGTATGGGATTTTAATAGATGTAAATTGCAAAGTGCCTGGTCGGATGTATGTGGCCAGTATTGCATATTTTACCTTAGCCATAGAGCAAGAGGTCAGAGCATGAGTAATATTGTACATTTATTTAACAATGATACGACTTTAAATGATACGAAAGTATCCCATTTTGTTAAGAGCCATTTTAAGGTATTGTTAAAACATTCCAATGTTAACCTTAATCAGTTCAGTAAAAAGATGATTTCAATAAAATTGTTGTAAAAACTGTACTGTGTGTTCTTTTTATTCTGCGCATGCGTACAAACTCGTGTCCCACATGCGAACCGTGCATAAAAATACTGCCCCAAAGAATTGACGTCAATACAAAATTGATTTTTAAAACATTTTTATTAGTACATGCAAACAGTTACAACATTTTTAATAAGGAAGCCATTGTTTTGGTTTCGCCGCCTGTCTTCTGAGTAAACCACGGATATATTTCGCGGGACTTGCACGTGGTGATGTTGGTGGCGGTGGTCTCGGTGGCGGTGTCTTAAAAACAGCCTCTTCCGCGCCAGGCGGACTGCCCATTTGAACCTGATCCCATCTTTCTGTGTTTCTTGCAATATCTTTGGGTACATTAATCTTTGACAGCCCGCGAAAGAATTCCTGCGCTCCCTTGGGATTAAAATTCTTACGTGCCCGCATGGCATCACTCACCAGATCCGATATATTCGAATCAGGAATCTCCTTACCGTCCACTTTAACTTGCCCAGAGTCGTCCCAGGAAAACACGTCGGGTCTTGCTTTCAAACGCCTCAAAAGAGTTGCGGCTTTCGGGCGTAGGGTTACAGGTAAATGTCCGATCACGTCCACGTCAGATAAAGGCGCTTTCCCTCTGGACTTCTGTTCCGTATCCGGTGCTATGCGGACTGTAGGTACTTGATCGTCCTTCTGTCGCTTCAAACTCAGATAACTTTCCATGTTCGCATTGTACAATTTCTGTTTTTCGACATCGGACATGCCTGTACTCTGAAGCATCTCTGACATCGCCGTATCCTGATGCATCATCTTGGCTGTAATTGGGGAGGTCTCAATCTTTTGTTTCTGTTCATAACGATTAAGCACGTCCTCCGGGACCAATACCATGCGTTTCGCATGCTTCATACTAACAAACTTCCGAGTACACTCAACACTGGTGGTAAGAGAGCTGACAATAAATTTCCACCTTTCTGATTAAGGTACAACTTCTTCCATTTTCTTGACACTTTCTTATTGGCTAAATCACGGAGATGTGTCTTGTAACGTGCTAAACGTCGCTTTTGCCGAGGTGTTACCGGAATGACACCTTTAAGTAAATTCAAGGAACACTCACAAATAGCTGTGATGACATTCGCTGGAACGTTATCGATGAGTAATTTTCGCAATTTAGGTTTAGATTTGACAATGACTTGAAGATAAGGAAGACTTCCTTTCATACGTTTTGACATCTTGCAAATGAACCGTTTTCAATACACGTTCAGCTTTTAAGCACGTTTCACATAAACAATCTGTCTCTCTTTGGGAAAAATGCTGGTTCTCAGACGCATGTTCTCTGGTGTCAGCTGATGACAATCGATGACTAAATATCCGTAAGGCCTGCCCGTCGCATTGTGAAATGCCTCCAGAAGGTATCCGGTATGTTTAGGAAACATCTGCCTGGCAAGCATGGAAACACCTAGCGAGTCACGTGGGTTTCTAAACACGATGAGAACGTGACTATTCAAACTAATCGTTCGAGAACGTTCGCCTGGCGGGAACAAATTCTGAGTAAGGTACAGCACGGACATGCCAAGGTGATGGGAATCACGTGTAAACAAATCCGAGACACGTGGATCGTTGGAACATTGTGACATCAAGTCATCGAGCACGACTAACGAGTTATCATGTCCGCGGGTCATCTCGCACAAATGATCGGGAAATCCTTCCACGAGAGTTAAATTGGGAACTGTCTGCAACATTTCTTCGAATTCCTTCTGATATATGCGGTAACAGTATATTATTTTAGTCGGCACGGGATTAAATAGTTCCTCTGCATGCCGTAACATGGAACGGACCAAATAGGATTTCCCGCTTTGACTTTGCCCACAAATATAAAAATTTGCTGGTGTTTTAAATCTCACGTCCATTGTGTTCACGTGCATAACACGCACTGCGTTATGATTTGACGTGTCCGTTCGTTTTATATCTTAAACACCTGTCTGATCATTCTACGGAAAATACTCTCTTCTTCAATTCGATATGCACTAAAGTCAAAGCTTCTCAGTGGGGCCGTGACTAAACGAACAGCCCTCCGCGTTGTATCCTCGGAACTGTCCATCAAATAAACTAACGTCAAATAGGCCATAGCACGGCCAAAATTAGTCACGTTGATCGTGTTAAAAACAATATGCATTTCATTAGGATTAACATTCACTACCATTTGATTGTACAACGCCTCGTGGCGCTCAAGCAAATTACTAATAGTATGAGATAATGTTCTCATGTCAATATCAACGCCCCGCGCTTGCAATTCGTCTAGTATCACTTCCATCGCAACAAAACAACAAATGAATACAACATGTGAAACCATTTATTTATATACAACAAATTCATTTATATACAGCATATTAAATCCTATCTAAAGTTCTACCTTAAGCTACAATTAGCTCGACGCACTAATTCTAGCTACATTTCATAGTATAGTATTAAAAAGTCACATGTGAATAAACGTTTTCGCGGGAAAATACAGAACAAGGTCGTATATTGTTAAAATGTTGTCCAAAATGTTCGTCCTTGTGCTCGTAAAGTTATCACTGGCGTATCTTTGTATTGAGTTCAAAAGTTACCATTATTTGGACTGCTCGAGACTTGGCATCTCAACCTTTCCCCGGTATGGAAAACACTACTGGGTTGAAGTCCTCGATTTAAAGAGAAACAATATATCCTTTTTGAACCTCTCAGCCGTTACAACCGACTTTCCGAATATTAGCCATGTGGATTTACGACACAACCCCCTAGATTGTACCAGGCTGCCAGTACGCGTAAGGGTACACATTACAAGTGACTGCCCCCGTACCACAAACATGTCCATAGCGCCGGCCATTACGTCGCAATCATCCAATATCGTGCTACGTATGACAGCACCTCGAGCCTCCTTGATAAAAACCGTTTATAATACAGATCGGCCGCAAGCGTCCCGACCCCTTCTCCAGTCAACACCGGCAAAAATCATATCCTCCTGGTGCTATCAGTTCTAATACCAACCGGCATTACAATACTCGGCATCGCGTGTTTTTACATCGTTCGAAGGAGGAGAAGGCGCCGTTCATTTTATAGAGAATTCCTTGCACTAAACAATACTCGTCGCCAATTCTCAATTGATTCCCATTCTTCAGATTCCTCCTACGAGGAAATAAACCATGTACAGGAGAGTTCATTTTAATATCCTTCTAAAAACAACACTATTTTACTGTTATCAATACCAATGTTCTGTTATAAAAAACAATCTAATTTAGGGTGTGCCCCGCAGGGCCTGCAATACCTTCCTGTTGTGTTAACTTATAATGACATTTCTGAAATGACGAATGTACAAAAATAGCTTGTGTACAAAATGTGCTATTGTAAAGGCCGATTTCCGCTGTCGCATTTTTCGTATGCACGTACACGCACATAACACTTCGAATCCTCCTATTTCTAACTAATTTACAAATGCGTCCTAAAACTTGCGGAACACTGAGTCCTGTTGCCCCACTTACCTGGTTAATTTATAAGTAACATCCAAACGAACCTAAAGTTTTACGTGCGTATACGTATGAAAAACGCAACAGTGGAAATCAGCCTTAAAGGAGACGCGGAAACGGTATCTATGTTTAAATGACCTCTGCTCTAAGCGGTTATGTTCCGATAAACACTTGTGTGTTTGACAGGAAAACCCGATAGCTTATACTATATTATTCGACATAATGTCTATACAAGAGTAAACATACGCCTATACGCTCCTGAAACAGATTGTAATATTAATGCGAAATACTATCAATTCTTTACTGTTCATTTTAGCGTGCCTATGCATTCAAAATAAGACCCATTCAGGACACGGTAAAATGTACAGTACTGTTTAAACCATATACGCAGCAGACGTTAAGAACTTCAGTGTATATTAGTATTTCAAAATTGTACATATAGTTTCTTTACATGCATATAAGACCTAAAATCATAAAGGCAATGTTATAATTACAATGTAGTGTGAGACATTGCTAATGTGCTTTCGCCACTTCCCGACCGCCCAAGTGACATCAGTTCGGTCTCAGAGGGCCTTTGTAGAACAGCTGCGCTTCTCTGCCGCCGTCCCGCCACACAGAGCCTATAGCCGTAAAACAGACCCAGAAACAACACTAATCCTGCGGTCAGCCCGATAATAATGAAGTACAGATTAGGGGTCGAAGCCGAGATCCTGGTCGGAACCCTTGTGGGGACAATGGTAGAGGTCAGGGTTCCGGTGAGGGTTTGGGTTAGGTGGGGGTTGAGACTACGGTTTGGGGTCGGATCAGGATCCGGGACGTTGCCGGGATTTGGGTTCCGGTAGGAGGTGAGGTTAAGATCCGGGATTGAACCGGGGTCCGGGGAGTGGTCGGGACTAAGGTGGGGGTTGAGACTACGGCCGGGGGCCGGATCAAGGTTCGAGACGCGACCGAGGTTAGGGTTCCGGTGGGGGTTGGGGTCAGGAACTGGGACTGAACTGAGGTCCGGGGAGTGCCCAGGATCAAGGTGGGGGTTGCAACTACGGTCGGGGGCCGAATCAAGGTCCAGGACGCTGAGGTTAGGGTTCTGATGGGGGCCGGGGGCTGGACCAAGGTCCGTGGAGCGGTAGGGATTAAGGCCGAGGGCAGGAGGAAGGTTCGGGGTTACGTTTAAAGTCAATCGATACAACCCATTCTCGTTCTGTCTTCCACAGCCCCTTGATGGTTTCCAGCGCCAAACCACTACAGTCCAAAAGACTTATAAAACGCTGTTCAAGACAAAATGGGGTACTTCCATGCACAAAAAATAAAAGGCAAAACACAACAGAAAGCATTTCGTAGATCTGTTTAAATTCCGAGTGAAATATCTCCTTTCATGTATATGAATAAATGCTAGTCTAAACTACGTACGCAAATGAACCGGTAATTACACAAGCACTCTGAAAGCTATGCATAAAGTGTGAGAAAACAGCGGTCATAGCTCAGCTTATCTTGAATTTGAACTATAATCTTTCCCTTTCAAACATGCGTAATATTTATTATTTAAAATCACAATACTATGTATTGTTAATTTCCTGTAGCCACAGGAATAATCTGAAAAATATGTATAAAGCGCGGGAAGACAGAGGCCAAAATTAATCATATTAAACGTGGTAAACACAAATAAATATTGCACAATGTTCATTGGTAACTAATACTAATAATTGCGTAACGCTCATTTTCCAAAAGTGGAAGCAGCAAACAAACAAGTGGAAACACGGGACGGCGGGAATCCCACAAACAACAACAGGTCGGAAAAAAAACAAAAACAAAAATCAAAAAGCCATGGGAAAAGACAAGAAAAAAGAGGCAGAATGACAGAGAAAATTACGACTTAATAAAAAAACAAAAACAAAAAGGCTGGAGGCTTTCTGGAGGCGTAAAAAAAAAAAAAAAAAACAATCAGACATTGGAAAAGACAAGAAGGCAGAATGACAGAGAAAATTACGACTTAATAAAAAAACAAAAACAAAAAGGCTGGAGGCTTTCTGGGCGTACGCCGAACAAAAAAATCAGTCATTTCTCGACGAATTTCTTGCCTTCTATGAAGGCAAGCAGGACAATAAGCAGGACCAGAACCAGGAGACACAGCAAGAAACCCGAGAAACCCCACAGCAACCGTTGGGACAGTCTGTAAATAATGCTGACCTGGATTTCCTAGATGATCCAGGCAGCCTGGACTTTATCGATAATATACGTTTAGACTTTTTTAATGACTTTTAGACAATTTAAAATAAACATTTTTATTAACCCTATTCTTTATAAGGGCAATTTCACGTTGCGGACATTACATTAACAGAAAAACAATTAATACAAAACATGCTCTGTTTCCTGTTTGCAACAGTTTCAGATCTGGGAACTTTGTCATAGAAAACCTTAAGGGGACCTCTTAAGATTTCATAAAATAAAACAAAATTCCCTCGTAATCAATTCTTGTAATAAAAAGTCAAAGTACTGTTGCGGACATTACAGCAAAATCAACCACACATTGAAGTGATGTTTTTAAAATGTAATTTCCTGTGAACTTTGAAAGGTATCAAAGGAACTAAAACACTTCCTGCTCTCAGTGATAATTGGGTTTAAAAAATATGAAAACGAGATGTTCTACAATGCCCTTGCGCGGCTTTTATAGTGCAAAGTTTGTGTTGCGGACATTACACTGAAACTGTTGCGGACATTACATTTTTGGGATTGTATAGCAATCTGTATTAAAAATGATAGGAAATCAAAACTGGGTGACTGATTATGCACTTCAATGTTTCTAGTCCACATAACAGGCATTCTAGCTTAATTCTATTTATATTTGTATACCCATGGCCGTACCGGGCGGGGGGGGGGTGGCGGAGGGGGCGGCAGCCCCCCCCCCCAGTTTGTTGGGCAAACAAAGCCAGTCGGGCAATATTCGCTTCACACTTGGGCAATATTGGCTTATTATAAAAATAAATGAGACAAATTCTGTCAATTTTGTGGGGAATTCTGTCAATTGTGTGGGAAATATGCTATCTATCTAATAGGAATTCTACGTCGACAACAATTTTGGAAAGTTTCTCCGGAAATTTTTTTAACAATGCGGGCACAATCCGAAAAAGTCAGGCAAATTTCTTTCCTCCCCCTAATTTTTTCCTTCCTGTATGCCCATGTGTATACCACAATAATTCCTGGGATGAAATCATGGTCACATATATTACAGTATATAATCTTCTGTTGACAATAATATCTTTCAAAAGTGCAATATTTGTTGCACATAGACTCAGGCAATGACTTGGGTTGTGCAGCAAATAAAGTGTCATGTTTGTAGACCATTCTATGTGACAGTTTTGCATTTACTACATTTGGTGAGGATAATTAACACCCCTGGGTTTAGTGGAAGATGATCAAAACAAACATGAATTAAAACATGATTTTGCTCTTAACAACATATGCCTTACAAAACTGATGGTACAATGGCAGTATACGGTAGTGGCATTATATGTAACTTGGAAACTTTCCATGATGAATTGTGTCACTGTGATTGTGTATACAGCACGGAGTGATTATATTTAAAAGTAAGGGTCCCATAGTCCTTTTAATGTTCTATTTTTAAGTCATCAAGCTTAAAATAACTATAGAACTCAAGCAAGACAATTATATAAGCATCTAATTCTCCAATTTCAAAAATGTAATGTCTGCAACGTAATGTCCGCAACACATTATTCAAGACATGTTAATACTTTTTATTGTCTTTTTCCAGTCTAAATAATGTTAATACCATTTTAAAAAAGCAGCACAAATATAATGTCAAAAGAGCTAGACGTTTGGCTGAAAAATAAATTGAATTGTTTTTTTGTTGCGGACATTACATTTCTCCTACCCAAACTTCGATGCACCATAAATCACAGCAACACTGGATATTGTCTGATCTAACATTGTCATCATGATATGCGAACCTTGGACTGTGTTTGTTAAGAAATATAACTTATTTCAAAGTTAAAGTGACTGAGTTATAATTATTTTAAATAAACACACTTTATCCACAGAACAATAGCAACAAACAAGTGCAGATTCGACGGTTTGCCGCAGAGTGGGCATGGGTCAAAATTCAAAATTCGTTTTGATTTATGATAATCCAATGTGTTAACTATGGAAACATGTGATTAGCACCACATAATGTTGCATTTTGCAATTTTGCCATTTTCAATGTCTCATGTGAAATTGACCATAACAGTTTTTGAAAAATAACACATATTAAATGTTCAAACTATTAGCAAAATCGTTTATGAATTTGTTTGCCAGGTAATGTTCCTCGTGCTTTTCGGGTGGTTTACTTGAAAGGGGTTCCACAAAACTGACATCTTGATAAGGTTCCTCAGGCACCCAATCAAAGTACTTGCATGAAGATTCCTTGTCATTTGAACAGCAGAAAAACTCTCGATCTTTATTGAGACCTTCCTTTTTCACCTTACGGACCATACACGGTAATCCATGGTGACACTCTGGTTTGACTAAAGGTCGTACATCACCCCATACCCAGAATGAACACGGCTTCAGCTTGTTGGAACACACAAAAAACGGTCTCCCATAACTTGCTTTCATCAAATTTCTAACAACCCGCATTTTCGCAAGTTTACTATGTTCACCACACCGAGGATGAGGCTGTTTCGTAGCTCTCCATGCAGTTATAGCCTTTTCATACAAATAGCCCTCATCCTCGCAGCAAAAGAAATTGCAGCTAGGATTCTGATTGCAAAACCAGAAGGAACCATTTTGAGTAGTCGAATGAGCAGCGGGTTCACCGTGTAAGCACCTCATCTCTTCACAAAAACTATAAACATAAAAACAAAAATCGCTCGTCTCCTCTATTTATATTCCCCATCCAACACAGCTAACCAATCAGAGACGAGTATGATCATGACGTAGTTCAAGGGTGTACGTACACCGTGTACGTACACCATGTACATACATAGTATATGTACGGGGTGTACGTACACCGCGTACGTACACCCCGTACGCGTACGTACACCTCTAGTATAAATACACTTCCCCATAATCATCAACCACACACCGAAATGGAATACGTAGGAGTTCTACCAGCGCCGGAAGATGTCATACCACCAGCAAACATACCTCTCTTTGGAATCCTGGCGGAAAATACAGCAGAACCGGGACAGTTCTATTTCTGTTTCGAAGAAATTAATGGAAACGAGCTACTGGCGATGACAATGCATTGCTGCCAACAAAAAGCCCACTGTCGGTGTCTCCAGATGTGGGCGACACATTACATTGGAACAGATATCGAAACCGTACGGTGCGGGTACTGCAGAGCACCATTCCCGGACAAGGAACTCTGTTATCTGTGTCTACAAAACAAAATCACCGGACAAGAATTGAAGAAAACCCGATGCTGTCAAACAACAATCCACAAGAAGTGTACGGAAATCCTAAACGAAATACTGGCAAACCTGACATTCGATTTCTCGCTAGAATGTGGCGAATTAACCTTCTGCGGATGCGTCTGGCACAAACTCTAAAAACACTATAATTATCAAAATCCCTGTAAACTACTGTAAAACTTAATAAATTTTCAAATATTCACCGCTGTACGCAATTCTGAACATTTCCCTGCTTCCGGGTTTCCATGACGTCATTGCTCCTGCATACCCATTACTTCCGGCATACTCATTACTTCCGGCATACTCATTACTTCCGGTGCTCTACTCGTTCCTGCATACTAATTACTTCCGCCGCTATACTGCACTTCCGCCGCTATACAGACGGTCTAATACTACTGTAGGGACTTGTTGAACATAAAAGTGGAGATGCAAATGTAAAATTGTAATGGTAAAATATCCTGTGGTGTGAAAAATTTTTTGATCAAACCCAAATAGTATGATCGCGCTGTACTAAAAAGCTTGTATGGAGGCATGTCAATTATAAAGAGCGAGACAAGATAATCATGTGTGTAAAATTCAGTATCCCTGTACACGGCGTTTCGTCCTTCATGGACTCGTCAGCAGGGATTGGGGTTGGCACATGTGAGAGAGACAGAATTAGAAGCTGATATGGATTGCAAGGACAAATTAAAAACATAGCACTATATGTGTATAACTATTGTATAGTATAAAATGTCTTACCAAATTCGCTATTGCATTTAGTTAAACCAACACGTTGGGCCATGGTTGTGTCAATTGTTTACTGCCGTGTAGCACAGGAAAAATCTTCGTGAGATGAGAATAAACCTCGTAAAAAGCTTGTAGAGCAATTGTAATTCAGCTGTATAAATTGCGTGTTAGAACATGCACAGTTGGTGAGATGTATATTTGGGGGTTGTGTGGATAGCAGCGGTTCTGAGGGAGCATTTTTGGGAACTGTGAACTTACCTGGGTCTGTTTACTTCATGTAATACTTCATGTAGTGTTTGTGGACTTAGCACTACATATTTAACAGTTATTCCACAAACTCGAGTCGAACATGAGCTGATCGACGAGAGTGAGCGGAATAACTGTTTTATTATATACACAAGGTCTGAATTCACAGACTTTGCTTTTCGGATATTTTCAATTTTTTTTCTATTTTGCAAATTTTATATGTTTTTATCTTCGCTCTTTCGGACGCTTATTTTTTAAAAAATATATTTTTTAACCATTTTAAATTTTAAAAATTCATTTGCTAACCTGTGATCTCTTATAGAGATCCGAACCCATACCTGACCCCTGACCTTACAGATATTGAGGAGGATGCCCTTTTGGCTGATGTCAACAACTTAAGCATGAACGACAACTTAAACATGGACTACAGTTTTGAAGTAGACGAACTTTACTTAATAAATGAAATTGAAAACCAAACAACAAGCAAACATGAACAAAACACTGAATCACCAAACACTGATGAACAACATACAAACAAACCTAAGATTGACCAAAACATTGCTGAACATACTATGGACAGAACGAACAATGAGGAAGAAGACATGGGCATAACAGAGGATAATAACATTGACAACTCAACCTAAACAATTCTACTAACCAAGACCCAACTCACAACAGTAACAACATGCACAACCTGCATACACATAATAATATTGACTTTATTGACGTACCGCCACACTTATTAACATCTTTTAAAATAATCTATGAACTGAAACTGAGACACAGCAAACTACTTACAAACTTGGAAAACCTACGAGAACACAAGAGAATGAATACATTACCCCCAGGCCTAAGGATATACCACAAAAGTAAACACTACATGGGCAGGACGTTCAAAGACCGCTGGGAGAATATCCTCTTGAATGCCTCCCTCACTCTACTAGACAAAACCATCGATTACCTTGAACAATGCATAAACGAACTAAAAAAGAGATGTGATGTGGACTTGGCACAAACATTCTTGACAAAAACAGACACACTATACATGAAGTACACAGAACGATCCTTACTCGCACTCAACAAATCAGCCAAACAACTACAAAACACATCCGCAAAAAAACTACAGACATTAAACAATAGGTCACAGGACAAACAAACTAAAACCAAAAACAAGCACATTGTGCAAACATATTTATGGCAATATTAGAACAGAAACTTCTCATCGAAGCACCACAGGATCTTATACCAATTGAATGGATAAGATTCATAGATGACATATTTGCAATTTGGACTATATGGCAATGAAAAACTCCAGAAATTCATAATATACATTAACAACTTCAATCCCACAATTAAATTTGACTGCACATACTCATACAAATCAGTCAGCTTCCTTGACACAACTATCTACATTAACTCCAACAACAAACTTGAGTCAGACTTATACATCAAACCAACCAACAGAACTCTACTCCTACACCAAAACTCCTTTCACCCCCAAACATGCAAAAATTCCATCATCTACAGCCAAGCACTATGATATAGACGCATCATCACTGACAATACAAGACTACAACAAAGACTGGACAACCTACTAATTGCCCTCATTCACAGAGGCTATAAATATGACAACATTATTACATCTTTTAACAAAGTACTACTATACACACAGAATGAATTACTTATAATAAAACAGAAAATACAAACAAAACAAATAACAAGCCAATATTCACAACTCAATACAATAGTAATACAAAATACATTGCACAAATACTACGTAAACACTGGAACATAATTGAAAATGATCCTACATTGCGAATTCTATGGCCAGAACCTCCAATTGTAGCATAGGATTATTCACTTGAAGCAGATGAACAGCCAAACAAGATAACAATAACAAATCATCTGGCACACATTTGAACACTGGGAACCCAGTGTATGAATACCCATTAAATTTCACAGCTATCATTATAGCCATGGACTAACTACTACACTATAAAGAAGATTGTTTTTAGATGTAATTTTCAAACAGACATATACACCAATTTTGTACCATATCACTATTTATTAAGTAGAAAAATATCACTATCATCACTTTGGTACGGTATATGGAAACCATTGGGAAAGTACTACATCAATCAATTAATATTTGGAATTCCCCATTGGTTTACATTATTTACCTTCAAAATTATCAGTCCATTTTCAACTACCAACAATGTCTTGCTGTGCATGGTGATTAACCACTCACTCTTGGCACAACCATTAGGCCATATCACTATTAATTGTTTATATAAAAAAAGATCACCTATGAGATAATACAATAAGATGGTCTTAACCACATACGTATGTAAGGTATTATTTACACACCTGATCCCCAAACCATTTTGGAACAAACACTCAATTCCCTTATCTAGGTTCATTTACCCTCACACCCTAACCCCCCCAAGTATCTCGGTCCATTTCTTACCTCAAGTCCACTCAAGGCCATAACGTCCTCTTTAAACACTATTACAAAACAACACTTTCAACACAAATAATGAAGTAAAGTAACAAGTTCACAAAAACTATTATTACATGAAGTAAACACAAAGAACCGAATTTTTCCATAATTCCCCAAATGTTCCCAAAGAACCCCTACAATCCACAAAACATCCTTATTGAACCTAAACACACACGTGCACATCTAACCTACTGTGCATGACCAAACGCGCAATTTATACAGCTGTACGACAAATTCTCGCCACTTTCTGTTTACTGCTGTATCGAAAGACGAGCTATATTCACTCACAGTTTATAGACGAGCTATATTCACCCACAGTTTATAACGAAAGACGAGCTATATTCACTCACAGTCAATAGTATTATCATGGCCCAACATGATGGATTGACCAAACTCAACAACAATTTTGGTAAGACAATTTACATTTTACGTTGTACAATAGTCATTTACACATTTTGCTAATTTTTATGTCTTTTTTCTTTATTCCAAATCGGCTTCTATATTCTGTCTTTCTCACATTGCCAACCCCAATCCCTGCTGACGAGTCCATGAAGGACAAAATGCCGCGTACAGGGATACTGAATTTTACACACATGATTATCTCCTCCTCTCACCTTATATATTAGGGGTGGATTCAGCGTCTCAATCTGACCGTAGCATTTTGGATGAAATCAACATGCGGGGCCAAAGGTTACACCCTACCTAGGGGGGTTTGGGGGCATGCCCACCCAGAAAATTTTTGAAATTTGAAGCCCGCAATTACCATTTCCTGCATTCTGAGCATCGAAATTAGATTTTAAATTTGTAGAAAAGTGCCTGTTTTTCACACCAGAATAAGAAAAAAAATGCACAAAAGTTACAAAATTTATTCATCAACATACCACTTCGAACAACAGATTATCTTGAAAAAGTAAGATAACAGTAGTTCGAAAGTTTTCAAATGTACATCATCTTGAAACAGCGGCCCAACAACAGTTAGGGAAAACGTTTATCTGGCTAAGCAGCAGCATATATAAGATCATCCCGAAACAGCAGAACAACTTATGGCAGTCAGGAAAAATATTTTCTGTACTGTATACAGATTATCTCCAAGTTATAGGAAAACTGTTTATTTGTAGATCATCTTGAAACAGCAGCACAACGGCAATTAGGAAAAATGTTTATATGTATATGTTTTTTGTACTAAAATTCGGGCAGTTCTGCAGGAATTCGCGCGGAGCTGGGTGCGCAAATTTTAGTACTGCGGGAAATATAATCCGCGCGAAAAGCTTTGCGGTGTAATATTCACTTGTTGTTAGTAAATAATATAATGTAAGGCAATACCATATACGAACCTATAATATATGGGATGCTAATAAAAATTAGTTATTGTTATTGTATTAGCCAAATGAAAACATTTTGAAGTTTGAACTTTATACGCTTTACTGTTATCATGAATTTTGTTTTGACAAATATTGAAGTATTTGTTGTTATAGTTCTATTAAACAAACCAAAAGGAACCAACACGGAAAATTACTTGCGCGAATTTAAAGCTGCGCGAACAAGTTTCGCGAAATTGGAATGCACAAATTTAAAGCTGAACGAAAATCAGTATACGACGCGAATTTTAATACAAGTAAGATATACAATACATGGATTTGAAACATCTAACCATATATTTATGATACGTTATCCCAGGAAGCAGGCTCAGTTGTTGTAATTCTAAACTCTGTTAGTATACATGTAAACTACAATATAATATATCGGAGTGTAACTATTTCTATAAATTTCATTGACACTACTCACTAGTCTTTATAGACTACAACAGGTCTACAACTAATAATTACATGAGCAAAGTCTAAGATATAAAACATATAGGAGATTAACTAACATATTAACACACATGGCATGCCAACGGCTATCAAATAGTGTGAGTCATTGATATTCTGCATTTTTATAATAATACTTTTCATCAGCAAATATATGGTAATATATTCAAGACGCATGAACTGTGTAAAATTCGATATGTTATTTACATATCAGTTTCAATCTGACCACTGCAAAAATTTCCAAATACAGCGCTATGATTGGTTTGCTACGTTGAGACGAAGCAAGCCAATCACAATGAAGCAAATGCTACGACTTCAGAACGATGTGATATAGTACTAGTGCAAAACCCGCAAATACAGGCAGTATTTCGGGCGGAAATTTGAGAAAAACCCGAATTTAACTATCCAAAATGAAATAAAAACTCAATAAACAACGGAAAATAATGGCAATTAAAAATAGTATAACATTTTAGTTTTTAATAACATTAAAAAAGGTACAACCTGGAAAAATATATCTCCGGGAAAATCTGACCGTAGCATATCCTACGGTTGCAACGGTCTGAATCCGCCCCTGTATATTTTACATGCCTCCATACAAGCTTTTTAGTACAGCGAGATCATACTCCGCGAGTATGATCAAAAAATTTTTACACCACAGGATATTTTACTGTTACAATTTCACACACACATCTCCAATTTTTGTTCCAAAAGTCTACACCCACACTTACATTTCTTAGGTTCACATTTATACATATACAAGTGGATTTTTATTTTTTATTCTCAGGCTTATCTAATGCAAAAATTTTTTCACAAGCACGCATTGTGCGAACAACACGAGACCTTCACACTATCATATTTCACACTACATTTTTGTCCAACATTTAGGGACTATTGTGGCATAAATTTATTACTAGGACACCAATATGGTTCTCATTACCTATATCTAAACTTTAAAAACCAAAGCAAGTAAACGTCTTTATGCTCTAAGGATCCTCAAATAATCTGCTGCTCATTCTCCACCTCAAACAACTAGTCTAGCTGCAGCCCAGACGGGAAAATCAGGCTGTTTTCGGTGAGATGTCGGGGCGCAAAAGCTATTGAGTCCAAGGGCAGAGGTGCAAAACGTGCCCCAGGGGCGGACTCACAGGCGCCAGGGGCACAAAAGTGTGCACCCATCGATACCATTAAGATGTATTTATCATGCTCTTGAATTAAGATGTCTGTAGAGTACATTGTAAAAAAATTAGCCGGGAACCTTCATTGTTCAGTAAATCGTAACATGATAATATTATATGTCAATTGCCGGATTAGGCCGAAAGGCAGTGGAAGGCCTGCAAACAGGCTTATGCGTGCATAATTTCGTAATGGCGACCTCAAGTGCCGAAGAATGTAAAAATTTAAATTTTCTAGTGATTAATAATGCATTATTTTAATATAGCATTTATTTTATACATTGAATATAGCATTGAATATAATAAGCAAAATCCGTAGGTACAAAAGTAAGGAATGACCTACAACAACACTACAATGACCTACAACAATCTACATCCACCTACAACAATGTTACAATGACCTGCAACGACCTTAAACAACCCTATAATGATCTGCGAAAATCCGACAACAACCGGTCTTGTATGTATTGAATATTTTCCAAATTTTATAGTCTATTTAGTGGTAATTTGTGAATTTTCACAAATATTTCTGAAACTAATCCCAATTGGACTACCATTAAATTTCTCCTGCAACGTTTTGATTGGATACTAAATATAAACTTTGCTGTGGGTGGAAAGCGATCGGATTATGGTTTGTGTCAGGCTATTATTTGTAAAATAGAACCTGATACTTAGGTTATGATCGCCATGCATAGCGACATTCAACATAAGTTGTTGTAAAGGCCATTACCATAACAAAAAAAGCTGTGAGTAGGGGACAGTTAACACCAACTGGAACACCCAGCTGTAAGAAATCATTGTCAAAACAGCATAGGCAGGAGACAATAAAGGCAGGTTGTGCAATCCATGGGGTAGTTTAGATGACACAGCACCGGCAACGATCGGAATGGTTTAGATGTTGGAGAAGAAATGTAAGGAAAAGGATATTGGCAGCAATGGGAAAGTGCAAAGAAGATTAGGAATAAGGTTTCCCGAAAATTTATAAAGAAGATCTTGTACAATTTGAGAGCTCAAATGAAAATATGCTTGGGTCAATTGCTGTTTATCATAGTGGTGGGATTATGGGAAGGGATAAGTATCGATCTGTTTATAAAGCTAGTTTGTATAGGCATGTTTCAAAGAAGCGAGCTGTGTGTATAAAAGTTGCAAACTGCCCTACCCCTAAATTTGTTCCTTACCATAGGCTGATGTCATATATTAAGTCCATTGAGGCTGGTAAGTTGCACAATGTTTGGGAAGAATTATGTGATGGACTGGATGAAAATGAGAAAATGAATGGTTTCTCCAGAGATATTGAGGAGTTAGTATTAAAGTTAGCTGATTTTTATTTAAATAATGATCAGTACAGTCCTAACTTTTGATGAGCCTAACAAGTTCTATATTGCTCTGGGGGGTGATGGTGCTCCATTTGGAAAGGACGACACTGCCTGCTCATGGTTGGTTACCTTCTTTGGATTATCTCTTATTTGGTGCAAATTGCAGTGAAAACTGCTGCTAAATTAATGTGACATTCGGCATGTAACTATAAATACCATCTATTCTGTGATGTGCAAAGGAGAACCGGTACAGGTTAAGTGTGTTATTGGAGAACTACCCAACGATATGAAGATGCTTGCATTTTTAGGAGGAGAACTATCTAAAAGTGCGACTTATTTTTCTACTTTTGCAGATGTGAGTAAGAATGACATTTGTAATTTTGAAGGATATGTTTGGTTCTAGGGCAAGTGACACATGGAAAATTTGGGAATACAGCAAGAGGGTTAAAGATGCTAAAGCAGTTGAGAAATTTAAGAAAAAACTTATCACAATAAACACATTGAGAAGCAAGATCACTACATTTATTGCAAAGCAAAAAGTCGGCAAGTGTTTGCACCTTTAGTGGGAGATTTAATTGACAAAACACACACAGAACCTCTTCATTTGAAAAATAATGCATGTGCATTAGCCCATCGCCTCCTATTAAATACTGTAACTTCATGGTCTAAACTATAACTATTTTTAGCTTTTCTAAGGATCACCATATTGTCTTTTTCACAAGTTTGTTGAAATTTTAAGGACTAATAGTCATTCACAAAGGTTGGCAAAGAAGATTATCAGATGGTTCAATGAAACTGGTGGGAAGGGGAAGGAGTTTGACTATCGCTTTACGGGTAAGGATTCCAGATTGTTTTTGCAAAATTTTATGTATATTGTTGATATTTTAGAAAGTTCCGCTAAAAGCCAACAAGCACTACTTCTTATCCATGTCCATGCATACCTCTGCCTTTGCTTGTGAGATGCTGTTTCTTTATTTAGTTGGGTAAATGTAACTGATGGACAGGTTTGTAATTTAAAATCACTTTGCACTCATATTTATCAAGGTTACTGTTTATACTGGTCTAATGTGAACCAGACTTTGTAGTCCCTTGGTAATCTTGTCCCACAACATACCAGTTCCTTTTTTAACTATATATCTGGGGGGTTGCAATTGCACCCCCAGTGAAAGAATTTGCCCCCCCCCCCAAGTAATGCCATTTCTGCCCCCAAAGTGCGAAGCAGAATTGCTCATGATTGCTGTCAGAATTGCAGTTGATTTACTTGATAATGAGATTATGCCCTTCCATAGCCTCCTCCACAGCCATCTTGTGTGTAAGAAAGAAAGAAAGATTTATTATACACAAAATATTAGTATTTACAAGTTATTTGTTGAAATTATAGAACTTAAGAATTATTACATGATGTATTATAAACTTAGATTGGATGTGCGCAGTAGCCAAAGTAGCGTGAGCTTTCCAGTTGGCTACTGCGTGTTAACGCCGGTGGCGGGGGGGAGTGGGCTCTAAAATTTTTTTATGCTGATAGTCCGCCACTGGAGTTTTAGAATTTTCCGTACGTAAAATGCGTTTTGCCCTCCACCTATTAACCTAAATCCTAATTAACCAAATTATAAAACATATTTAGATTAAGATGTTTGTGTGATGTTACTCTGAGTGTGTATCCACACCGGGTAGGCTTGAAAAATATGTCTGGTCACGGCGGGATTCGAACCTACGACCTTTGGAATACTAGCCCAATGCTCTTCGAACTGAGCTACGCGGTCAGGACGGTTCGAGTATGCGATATTTCGGAACTGAGTCTAGTACCAACACAGCAGATTTCATGATTATTAGATTACACTGGTATCGAAGGAACTAGACTCAGTTCCGAAATATCGCATACTCGAACCGTCCTGACCGCGTAGCTCAGTTGGAAGAGCATTGGGCTAGTATTCCAAAGGTCGTAGGTTCGAATCCCGCCGTGACCAGGCATATTTTTCAAGCCTACCCGGTGTGGATACACACTCAGAGTAACATCACACAAACATCTTATTCACCTGAGTACATTACACCAACACAGCAGATTTCATATTTAGATTAAATTGATAAACTCAAACAAACATTTGATTCTTATCCACTGTAAGAAAAACTACAAATGCACAAAGATATATTGATCCTATTTCAATACAAAATTTTATAGATTATTATTTTACAATTGTACAATACTTTAAAACTCAGCAGCAATTTAACATGTTTGCCTGTGGATTAATGAATCGTCATATTGGTACTATATACTTATAAATGTATCATTGTAAAACTTCTAAATTCACATGGCAGCAAAGCATTAAGGAAATATACTGTTCTGTTACCAAAAACACAGAACTATACAAGTAATTGCCAGTAGCCTGAGCTAAAAAAACAACCACATTTTCATTAACTAAGACAAAGATGTTAAGTCAAATAGTAATAAACTAAACTCTTACTATTAATAAAGTCTTACTGTGGTCTATATATTGAACACAAAATATACTATTAATAAACTAGTAACTTTAGAATGGTTACCAGTCAATGAGCTTTTCAAGCTACCTAATTAAATATTTCACATCATCATGTTACACCGGCCAGAGTGACCAGACCAATGCGGTCTAACAAGCCATGTCGATAGGTTATATAGATAAACCGGTACTCTTAAAGCGTACATGTTGTGTGATTAATGCATAAATATAAAGAAATTTTAAATAAAACACTTCACTAACATGAGAATCAATTACATTGTAGACATTGAATATTAACATATTTTAGCTTCTTGATGCGAGAATTATGCTAATACAGCAATACAGCATAGCGAATATATTAAAATATCATATGTCAGACAATCATTAACAACACCGATGGCTTGGTACTCCGGTTTATAAACCTTTAATATGAACTAAAGATACATCACTATAAAATTATAAATTTATCTACCTTATTGAAGTGCAAGCTTTGTCTTTCTATAGCAGGAGCTCTCTGGGCCAAAATTCTAGTGAGGCTTCTGTTTGTGTTATTGATGGTGCTGCTCAGTAGCTTGTCAACAAAATTCGTCTGTGAGGCATCGATATTCTTTTCAAGCTCCGTATACAAACGTTGTATAGAGATTCCAAATCGTTTGCCGCAATCGCAAACTGAACATTGTCGAAAATGTTTCCTAATATTGCTGGTAGAAATCGCTCATAATAGTAAACGTTCGAAATAGTAAACACTCAGTGGTAAACACTAATGTTAATGCCGTGTTGACGAATATCTCACGCTGCGAATATAAGCCAATGACTCACACGACGAATATCTCACACTACGAAAATATAAGCCAATGACAGTTCAGAATTTTTTTAAATGGTTCAATCAGAAGGCTCATACAGAGCCCCCGAATCTGCAAGTCCGTTAGGCCTCCCCACAGATCCGTCGCAAATGGCTGTAACCATGGAAATGAGCGTGTCAGCCAATCAGATAGCCGGCTTTAACCCCCGAATCCGTCAACTTTCATGCATAAGACCGCTGTTCGTGACTGACTAACATTACTTTGCCGAAACTCTGCCGCAGCATGAAATGTATAACTGGACTACCGGTACGATTCAAAATTTTAGTAACTCGATCTACTGGCCATTATAGGTAGCTGGAGTCAATTTTTTTTAAGTAGGCAATTTTTACTTCAGTCGCGCGACTGATTTGACGCAGGATTCGAATTAAATATTTAAAATGAATAGCAAATTTCTACCCATTGACTCGTGCAATAAAAAGTGAATAGCGAATTTCTACTAAGTGATTACTGTGTTGCATATACAGTAAAAAAGGATTAAGCATTCGATCTTCAACCAGAAAGGCTGTTATAATAAGAAAGATTAAATTAAGTAGTCTTTATTTTTTGGTAGTTGTGTAAGATTAACAAGCCAGAAAAGTGAGAAAACGACAATGTAAAATTAAATAATTGCAAAATCTAAAAGAGTTAAAATGGGTGATTCTAGCTATAAACTAAATTTTGATCAAGGCAAGAAGAACGAAATCCAACAGCACAGCTGGAAAGAGCATCTTAGAATGAGTAAAACTGCAAAGATTGGTTGCTAAATGTTGTAAAACGAAGAAAATATAGCCCTGTGAAGTTCGCAGATTTTGTATATATTTGTCAGTACGCACAGTAAAAATAACCACTTTTGGCTCAAAAATGGTTATTTTTCCTGCATGTAATGCGAATATATATAAAATTTGCGAACTTTACAGGGCTATATTTTCCTCATTTTACAACAATTCGCGACCAAACTTTGCAATTTTACTCATCCTAAGATGCGCTTTCCAGCTGTGGTAATGGTTTCGTTCTTCTTGTCTAGATCAAAATTTTGTCTAGAGCTGGAATCATTTTGATTTTGATTAAAAGGCATTTATTCAAAGTTAGAGCAAATTAAAGTACAAACAAAATACTGTACATAAAGTAAATATGGCAAAGCTCAGAAGCAAAACATTTAACTTGCGTACATCGCATATTACACATTATGAATTAAATTAGAAAGTTATTGAACAGTGAGTTAGTTGATTTGGGTTTTAAACCCAAGCGATTGCGAAATTCAAATCTGATTATATAGTTGCGTGAACAAGTAACATGACATTTGACCTTTCCTAAGTGGATTTTGACACAATTTTACACTGTCAGCCTATCATATTAAAACATTAAACCAAAACACAGCTTGAGGCCATTAGGAAATGCAACAGAATTCTGTTGTCTATTCAGAAATATCAGCGCAAATGAGAGAATGTTTTGCCTCAAAATACACAAAGAATTGTTTGAAAACAAACGCTTCCAATGTTATCCGTTTTACTTTTTCACATGTGAAATCTTCTCAGGTTGAATAGTGATTTTTTTATATTACTGTATAGCAAAATGAGTAGCGAAATCCCAAAAACGGATAGCGAATCGCGATTCGCTATCTGTTAATTTGAACCCTGATTTGACGACTCTAGATCCGCCCCTGGGGAATAACCATAATAACAATTTTGTGCTAAAAATAACAATCTCTGAGAATATAACTTCTCCAGAGGTTTCCAATTTGTTTGGGCTAGAACATCCTCTGTTGGTGTTTGCAGGTCCAACTTGTAAATCACCTTGGCCGCCCGTACGTGTATACGCTCTAGTTCATCAAATAGGGTTTTTCCACATGATCCCCATATTACGAGCCCATATGTGATTGAGGGTAATATAACTTTAAAGTAAAAATCAGCCCTTGCCTTAGTTGGTAAAAAATAAAGAGACTTTAAAAGATTAAGTTTTTGTGCGAATGACTTAGTTAGATCGGTTACATGAGCTTTCCACTTTAATGTACTATCTATTTCAATTCCTAAACATCTGGAAGACTCGACTTGTTTGAGGTAAGTATTTCCTAATTTAATACTTTGCAATGGCCCCACGAATTTACCTCGCCCAAGTATCATGAATTCAGTTTTGTCCGGGTGTGGTGTTAAAAAGTTATTGCAACACCACTCATGTAGCTTACATATAACTCTATTGAGTGTTGTGGCAACAGAATCATGAGTTGGGCCAATTACATATATGGTGGTGTCGTCGGCATACATGTAGATATCACCTTCATCATCATCGCAGATTTCTGGCAGGTCGTTGCAGTAGAGAGAGAACAAAATAGGGCCAAGCACCGATCCTTGGGGAACACCATATTTAACTGACATGGACTGTGATTGGCACCCATTTAAGACCGTCATTTGCGAACAATCGGACAAGTAGTCGGCAATCCAGGACCAATGATCCCCAGAGATACCGAGATCCTGCAGTTTTTGAAGTAATACCGAGTGTGATATTGAGTCGAAGGCCTTTCGGAAATCAACAAACACAATACCAACTACTTGATTTTTATCGAGCACCTTTCTCCAATCTTCCGTCATCTTAGCCAATAACAGCTTGGTAGAGTGACCCTTTTTATAAGCCCATTGTCTACAGTTACTAAGTTGATTTTCCGTAATATGGGTTGAAATTGTTGAACAAAATTTGTTTCCATAAGTTTTCCTGGTACACATAACAAGGATATTGGTCGATAGTTTTGCTTATCTGTTTCGTCTTCTTTTTTGAATAAAGGTGTCACATTGGCTGATTTCCACGTTTTAGGGACGACATTATAAGTCATACTAATTGTATAAAGTGACATCAGAGATGGTATTAAAGCATCTCCGGCAAATTTCAACAATTTAGGAAGTACATTGTCTGGTCCACTTGCTTTATCTGGTTTGAGATTCTTCAGGCTCCGCGAGATGACGTCCATATACAATGCGATATGCATAACTGTCGGAGTTATACGTGTAATATGTCTGAAGCAATCACCTTGATTGGATACAGGAAATTTGTTTGCTAACTTTTCACCTATCTTGGAAAAGTGCTCATTTAATAGATCAGCTTTTCCTTGGTCTGAGGTTTCCATTGATCCGTCGAATTTCCTAATACCCAGTATAGGCTGCCTCTTTTGGCTGTTGGTGGCATTCTTAATTACCTTCCAGTACGATTTGCAATCTCTCACTTTGTCAAACAGTTCTGTGTAATATTTTGTTTTGGCCAACCAGACCTCTTTCATTACTGAATTTCGGTATTTTGCCCACAGTTCTTCCTTCTTTCTTTGTCTAGCCTTTAGGAGTGTTTTGTACCTCATGTTCATCTTGTGTCTTATTTGTGGAGTAATCCATGGAAGGGTCTTCCGTCTTATCTTAATTTCTTTATAGGGAGCATGCCCATCACATGCCATTAAAAAGTTCCAACCATGTCTGATAACAGTCGTCAACGTCGTCAAAGGTTGCGCCAGCTGACCAAGGAGCTTCTTCGATATCTTTAACAAACTTAGATTGGTCAAAATGTTTGTAACTGCGCGCTTTCACGATCTTAGGGGGTGGTCTTTTTATTTCCGTCATCAAACAAGCATTCACCAGCTTATGATCTGATATTCGCAAATCTAGCGTCATTGTATGTTTAATTAGTTCTGCTTTGCTGGTTATCACGAGATCAATTAGAGTGGAAGTGTCTTCTGTTACTCTGGTTGGTTGATTATTGGCTACCGAATAATCAAATTGGATTAATACGTTATGTAGTCTCTTCCCACAAGTTGTCAAAATGATATCACCTGCCCTACAAGAAAAATCGCAGTTGAAATCTCCCACTATCGTAACATTCCTGTGTTTCATCCAGACTCTTTCCAATATCTGTCGAAAGTGACCAAAGAACTCGTTATCATCAGGCGGTCTGTAAATAGTTCCTACTATAAAGACTGTGGAATTTATCGAGATCTTTAACCAAATTCCCTCTATTTCAAGAACCTCTAGGGATTTAAGATGCGAAGAACAAATGTGATTGTTTATATCAACAAGACATCTCCCACCAGCAGCTCCTGAGTTTCTGTCCCTTCTTACAATTTTATAGTTGTCTATTTCGAGTTGCTTATTTGATATCTTTTGATTTAAATGTGTTTCTGTAATCGCCAGGATGTCAAAACAGCATACTTGCATTAAAACTTTTACTTCATCTAACTTGTTCCTGAGGCTGCGTACGTTAATGTGGGCTACATTTAGATTGTTTGATCCACTGCCTATTTCCCCGGCAAAATTTTGTAAATAATCTGATTCATTCCCTTCTGAATTAACCCAACCTGGATTTTGCTCAACATCTCCGGCGCAGATTAGCAATATTTGTTTAGTAGCTGTTGTATTGGAATAATACGCGACACGGCTCTTCGACAATTTTAATTTCTTTATGTTATTATATCCATTTGTAATTGTTAACACCAAATCATCAAATGCAAATTTGAATTCCCTCACTTGTAAACCTGGCCCATCGAAGCTTCTTTTCGCAAAACGATTTAACTCACAAGAATCAGAAAATCCCACTTTAACTTTGTATACTCCGGAGCACAGTTGTCTCTGGAACCTCACAACGGAGGATACTTCCATCACCAAAGGCAGCAAATATCCAACACTTCCACGCCATAGAATAATTCGCTTGGCTGACATACAATAATTCGCTTGGCTGATTTCGAAGCCACAACCAGGACAGGATATTTTTGCCAATTCCACAACAAATACCTTATTCCGACAACACAGTGCCGTTCCCGAATCGGTTCCTCGCATTTTGAGTTGAAAAATTGTACCAAAATGACAATTTTAAGGAGGGAAAATAACCAAAAAGTAGAGAGCCGCATAAATCGAGTATACTTCATTACGCATTCATATCATTACTTCATTACGCATTCATATACTTCATTACGCATTCATAGCAAAGCTATTGGCCTATAATTATTTGGGTCTGTCGTTATCCCACTCTTATAGACTGGCGTTACTCTAGATATTTTGAAAGCATTGGGAAAAATTCCAGTAGAAATAGATTGGTTAAAAATATGAGTAAAAGGCACTGATAGAGCACTACTAGCCAGCTTTATCATTTTGTTACGAATATCTGGAGAAGACTTATTCACATTTAGTTCCGAGAAAAGTCGACAAACGTATTCCTCAGAGACAGGTGACATGCAAAAACTTGAAATTGGTGAGTTAGTTATGTATTTGGTGGGATCATCATTAGAATTTGGGATTGAATTAGCCAATTTGGGAACATTTACAAAATGCTGATTAAATTGCTCAGCAATGTCGAACTGATTAATATATGTTTTTTCATTTCTAACAATTCTAGTTGGACAAGTATGACCTTTGTTTTTCCTATTAATCAATGTGCCTATCAATTTCCAAGTGTTTTTTAGATTGTTTTTACATTGATGGAACTGCTGATTATAATATTCATTTTTAGTTTTAGTTTTTAATTTATTCAATACATTGGAATAGGATTTATATATAGAAACTCTCAACGGATCTCTACTTAAAAAGTGTGAGCGGTAAAGCTTTTGTTTTACTTTAATAGATTTAATGAGACCTTTTGAAAGCTAAGGTTTTGATAATCGTTTCATCCTATTACGCGAGGCTTGTTTAGTTGGTGCATGCCTCTCAATTATTTGAGTAATGGTGTTAATACATTCATTAGTCATTTCATGCAAGTTTTTGATTGTTGTTAAATATTTCTGACCAATTTACTGTATTTAAATCATTTACATATTTTGTCTTATTAAATTGATTGTAGTCCCTTAGGTAAATAGTCTTTTTAATTCTACTAACTGATCTGTTATACAGAGAAAAGGTAGGTAGGTGATCAGATATGTCTACCAGAGCAATACCAGAGACAATGTTTTGAGTTGATGCATTAGTGTAAATATGGTCGATTAATGTAGAGGAGTGTTCAGTGATGCAAGTAGGTTTGGTTATACTAGGAATAAAATTATCTAAGTAAAGCATATCTAAATATTCTTCTGCATGAGCATGTATGCTGTATTTAAGGAAATCCACATTCATGTCCCCCAATATAAACACTTCATGTTTATTATTATTTAATTGCTTAATTATGCTTTTTAATTCAGAAGTAAACTCTTGAAGATTAGCTGACGGATGTCGATAAATACATCCAACCATAATAGTAGATCTATTTCTGCCAGTGGCAATCTCAGACCAGCATGATTCAACAAGCGGCATGGAAAATTTTATATCAGGTCTATGTATACATTGCAAATCTTTGTTTATATATAAACCGGCACCACCAGCCATGGTTGGTGAGTCAGTATGAAAGAAATTATAATTAAGTAAATCAATATTAACCACATTATTATGGTTTAATTTTGTTTCCGTTATAGCTAGGATATCAGGCCTGCTATCAAGAGTGTAGAGGAAATCATTCAATATAGATACGTTTTTAGGGAGACTTCTAACATTAAAGTGAAATAATGATATACTATCACAGGACGAAATTCGATTTTTAATTAGCTTTAACCTAAGGTGTAAATATATTGAAAGGGCGCTTTACACCATTTAAGACGGGTGTTAAATCCAAGTAAAGATGGAAGAAGATTTATTTAGCATTACTGATGTTTAATTGACCCTTTACCACAAAATTTAAAGACATAACTTTTATAGAACTTTACACTCAGG